TATATATATATATATAATATATATATATATATATATATATATATATATATATATATATATATATATATATATATATATATATATATATAACCATCCTTTGTTTAACCAGGTAAAAAGTCTCATTGAGATTAAAATCTCTTTTTCAAGAGCGACCTGGCCGAGAGGGCAGCATGAACAAAGTTACAACAGATAAAACACAGACAATACAGGCAGACGAATACAGCGGTCGTAAAACAAAAATTAAATGCCACATTAACCAGTCAATATGCAAATAAAACAAACTATTATAAATCATTAAAAACTGGTACAATTTAAAACAACTTCGATTATGGGATATACGAGCAATCACATCGACCAATGGATTCTTGTTCTCTGTCCTTTAAGATGGACTTGAATTCCCCCATAGTGATCAAATCTGAGTTTCAGCTCCTTCTGTATATTATTCCAAGCAGAAGGGGCAGCATATTTAAAAGCTTTTTTACCCAGTTCTGTTCTCTGGTTCTCACTTTAGGAACCAGCATGTTAGCCACAATATGTTAGCCTACTTTAATCAAACAGCTAACTCAGACAGAGAGCAGTAGGATGGCGATATTCTGATATTAGAGATAACAACACAGACAGTTATTGAATTGGAAATGTAAACAGGTAAACCAGAAATGTTCAGTTATGTAATCATGTTAACTCACTTCTGGCCTTCATCAGTCAGCTTCTTGATCACGTGGCCCAGTGTGAACAGGCTGCGGTTGATATTGCAACCTTCTTTGAAGCGTGTGCCTAAAAGATAAAAAAGAGATGGTTTATTTTGGGTTTGCTGATCACACAGTACACTTACAATTATCATCAGATCTATTTTGCATTTCACAAGGCTTTAAATCAGTAACTTTATATGATTTATGGATTTAACTCCACCTTACCGTCAGCTCCTGTTTGACTGGCTCTCTCAGATCCAGCTAGATCGACTAAATTCTAGAAGATAAGCAAAATGGCTATTCAAAAAAGAATAATAAACAGACAATGAGGAAGACAATTAACAGAAAGAAAGAACACTTTCCAATAAAAAAAATAGCTCCTTACCAAATGAGACACAATAATGGCTCCATCAGCATTTTCACCAGATGCTGGGTCACTCCTTTCTCTGCTTTCCAGGATCTAAGAAGACATAAATCATGAAAAACCCAGAGTTCCCCAGAAATCAACATGTACCTAATGTTGTGGTGTTACTCACCATTCGGAAAATTGCGTGTGATCGACTGCTCCTCTCATTCATTTTTGTCTTTCCATAGTGACGGTTCTCTGCAGAGGAAGAGAGCAGAAATCAAATGGTTGTTAGACACAATGCAGATCCTGAAGAAACCAGTCTTGTGTTCAGTCATCTCAGATCTTACTTTCTCCTTTCCGGATCCAGGCCAGGACTTGTGCAAGAGATGTGACCAGTTCCTCCCTCAGGTCAGCCACATAGATGGTTTTCTGCACAATTAAAAAAAGACACAAGCACAATGATCATTTAAAGAGAAAGAAAATGATGTCCATGCCTTTAGCACTCATAGACATGAAGTGTCATACTATAATGATGGAGGTCGGTGTGTGTTACTGAGGGAGTGTAGTAGTACCGCGTCTGAAATTAATTGAATCAGAGGATCTGTAGAAAACTGTGCAGGGCTCGAGCTTAAGGACGTCCCGAAAAAAATCGGGTCGGGAGGATACAAATTAATTTTGGGACGAATTTGGGACGAGAGTTCAAAACAAAATACCCTGCTAACTCTACTACGAACGGCGATGAAAATGAAACTGACTGCACGTTTTGTGTAGCACACAGTTATTAAACCTCCTTGTCAACATAAACACACACAAAGCATTTAGCAACCCGCGAAATACACACACAGTACGTAGCTACAGCTGTCAGCCAGCCGCACAGCTGTGATGTAACTACCATTTTTTTACCCCGGAGCGGTGCGGAGAAACAAAATGTTTCTTATGAAGCAGCATTTGACGGCGCGCTATGCATGGGGCACCCTAGAGGGGGTTTCCAGACATGTCATTGCAGCGGAGATGAGAACTCTCCATCGTATTTAGTCCTTAGCAATATGCTGCGCCTCTCCCCATGTAGGGATGGGTACCGAGCCCCGGTATTAAACGGGCCCCGGGCCGGAATTATTAAAGACAGTGGTACCAACAGTGGTCTTTTTATCGGTACTGGAGACATTTAAAACATATATGTCATATGTATTACTGCTACATGAACATTATATTGCAGTTTTAGTTTCGCCAACTCCGTTTCTAATATGCAATAAGACTACAAAATCTTATTTTCGATCTTTCCAATCCAGACGAGAGAGCTCTCTCCCCCGTCTGTGTGCGAGGGGGCAGGTCTGCTGACTGTGTTACAGACTGTCATCCTGGTTAGTGGTTACTCTGGGTTCTGTCTTCTGTCTTCAGGACAGAGTGTTGGATTTTTTTGTTAATCGGATGGGACTTGATTGGATTCAATATCAGAGTAACTTTCTCGCTTGTGTGTTTTTTTTTAAATATATTTGGCCTTTGTTTATGTGTTTGACTGATTTACTCAAATAAAAAGGTTGATGAATTATCATCTAATGATTTGTATGATGTTTTATTTATGTTAAAGGTCACTTTAAATGATTTTAACTAATGATAATGTAGAAAAACAAATATTTTAAATTCGGGACGGTCCACATTAATTTCGGGACGGCTTAGATTGTATTTCGGGACGGTTCCGGGAGGATGGTGAAAAAAAGTTAGTCGAGAGCCCTGCTGTGTGTGCCCAGAACTTTGGTTAGCGCATATGCTCATTAAAATCAGTTAAAACAGCACTCACACAGTCATATAATGTTACAAAGAACGGCTTTACGTCTGAAACACAGGAAAAATTGCCTCCTTTTTTGTTGCCAGATTTTTCTGCCGAAGTTAGAAGGCCAAATTTAGTATTAAAATGTGTCAGAAACATTTGATGAAAACATCATATGCAAACTTCTAAATAGACCACTTACATTTATTGTCTCTCGGACTTCCAGAGGTTGTCTCTTCCAGCTATCAACGAGCAGATCACTCACAGTCTCGTTGTAGATTTCCATGTAAGAAACCCGAAGAAGGAACTCCTTCTTTGGACACTTTTGGACAAAAGAGAAGTTGTTAAAAAACACAGTAATTGCTTACTAAAAAAGTTATTTCAAAATATGCGATACAATTCTTACACTTTTAATGGTTTGGAAGACATCTTCCACAGCCAGCGGTATCACTCCAGGAAAACGGTCACTCCCCAACATAGTGAAAGTCTTTCCGGAAGCAGTCTGTCCATAAGCAAATATGGTACCTGTGAATCAAACAGAGAAAATATGTATCCAAAAAAAAACAACTGCAGTGAGTGTTTGGAGCAACACAACAGATGTCACAGTATTCAGTTTTGAAAACATACCATTGTATCCCTGAACAGAGGAAACAACAAGAGGTTTAGCAATTGCTTGGTACAGCTGATTGGTCGTTTCTTCTGCAGTAAACACTCGATCTATGAACAGAGAAGGAAGGTTAATGTACAGTAGTAGTTAAGTTCTATGCAAAATATCTCAAAGGAGCCACAAAATCCAGTCAAACATATTTCTCAATCCTGTACATGCTGCAAAACTAACCAAAACTAAAGCTTTTACTGGAATTCCCATCATCGACCTGATAAATTGATTTTGCATCAGCTTTCCAAAAATAATGGACCGGCTCTGCATTCTCCGATGCAGCACTGTCTTCCCTGTAACAAAGACACACAATCAGGACATATGTGGAAACATTAACAGACTCTTCCTTTAACATTGTCAGGTGACACATTTAGTGGGAAAGAAATTGTGGCTGAAATACTACTTTCGAAGTTCAGCTTAATCAAAATGTAATATTTAGAAGAGAAGTATAATATTCCTTATGACTACAATACCATGCCATGAAAAGTCAAAGCCTAATAAACACGGACCAGGGTTTTGATTCTCAAAAGTAGTGTGGAAAATAGGCTACATATAATTAAGATCATTTTGGGGGGAAATTATAGCTAGATTGATTGATTGATAGATAGATAGTTTCAGTACAATAGCATCATTCCAAAGTATATAGAACAAAGAATAACAGTTATTGTAGAGCAATTGCTAGACAGTTCGTTTGACCTATCAATACAACAGACGGTGTTTTTAGCTCTTAATATGCTTATAAGGATATATAATTTAACATTTTAAAATATAAATTAAGTTATAAGTTTTACTTATAAAAAATCCCAAGTATTATTCTATTTGTGACAGTAAATGCAGATAATAAAGTGAATGTTACCTCTAAAAGTCTAAGTTAACAATTACTTTAAGGCAATACGTATTTACTGGAACAAAAGACTTGTATTTTACGTCCAACTGTAGCTAACATCATTAGCATGCATTAGCATTAACGCTCCGTAAGCTACCGTTAGCTCCAAACTTGTATTTTATTAATGCTAACTTAGCTGTTGGCGGAAGACTTACCTTGGAATAAGTGGACGGACCCGAACACATACTTTTACAGCCGACTCCTCTGCCATTGTTCTTTGTAATAGTAAGTGACCTGTCCAACCTTAAGGAAGGCAAACTAATATATCTCTCATGAACGCCAAAAAAAATACCTGAAGACGCATAAACGGACACGGGCTGACTCAAATATGAATGCCTCCCTCAGTTTCAAAAGAAAACCGTCACTGGTTTTAAAATCTCCCACTTTGTTTTGATTGGTCAACGTCATCGGGTGGACAAATCCAAATGAGGAGCACTCTGTGCACCTGACACAAAACGGTTGGCTTAAGTGAGATTTCCCTTTATTTAAAAAGAAATCTATTTTGACAAAATGTTTTAAATAGGCAAATTGGTTTCAAAGGGAAAACACATTTTTTTACTTCAATTTGTGCACCAAATAGTCAAATAAATATGGTAGCGCCCAACTAGTGACGCACAAAATAGTCGCTTCTTGAGTGTCGTCATCAAACTGCGTTTTGTACTGTAAGTGTGGAAAACACATGAGCATTTTGTGTTTTTTCTAGTTCATTTGAAGTTGAGCGTTTACAGTCATTTAAATAATCAGAGTTCTTAACGAATCTAGACATGGTTAATTGATATTCAGCGAAAACCATTTTCAAACTCGAGATAGCTGAAAAGAACACACAAACTGTCCTGGAGTGATTTACCTTTCTGAGGGAATGTCTCTGTTTGTTGTAAACAGGTAGGCTCGTGTTATCTACTAGCTTTCATTATTGGTATTTGTTTGTTTTGTCACATAAATACATGACTTTGGAGTTATATGGTTGTATCTTGCTTTTTAAAGCTTTTAAGATAATAAGTATGATTTTCACATCACAGTCATAAGAAGAAGAAGTTATATTTCATTTTTATTCTTACTATTTTAATTTGTATTCTTACTGTATATACATTGTACTCATGTACATTTTATTTGTATCTTATTCTATCCTTTAAACATTTGTAACTCGTGTAATGCTTAACACTGCTGCTTGAACACAATCATTCAATTTGGACTTTAAGCATATATCTATCTATCTATCTATCATCTATCTATTTAAAAAATGAGCACTTTGTCTGCCGGTTATGTTGTGTTTTTTATTACATTTTATTTGCTGTTTAATCTTATGACATGTTTTTAAATGTGTTCCACCTATCATGTCTTATAGGGAAGAAACATTCCTGTTTTTCTATTTGTTAAAACCCCTTCTTCTCCTGTGGTCAAAACACGTTGGCCTTTTTAATGATTAAAGATAGGGTAGGTAAGTTTGAGAAACCGGCTCGAGATACACTTTTTGTTATATTCCATGGAATGCTCTTAACATCCCGATAGCAATGAATATCTTAAGTGCTTTGACAAAAAATCATCTGTGGAAGCCGTAGTACTGTAAAAGGTACGACCAATCATTTTAGCCGGCCCGGCTAAAATAACTGGATGGCCTACCTGCCTGTCAGCCTTAGGAAGTGGCAGATTTTCTCCGGTTGTGTATTTTCAAATTCTAGCGATCTCGAGCCGGTTTCTCAAACTTACCTACCCTACCTTTAAGTCTCTACAATAAACGTTTTTTATATATTCTTCCCCGTTGTTTCTTGATTTTATATTTAAATGACTGGATTGTTTTCCTTATTTATCCTAAGATAAAAGATAACTTTCAACTTAAATGGCATTTATATTAATGTAATTCCATAATGTAAAGAAGAAGAGGGCGAATACCTAATAAAGGCAGGATGATATATTTTTAAGGCTACAAGCTGCTCAATTGACCAAAAGTGTATGTGCTGTGCTTTTGCTGAAGAAGTGGACAGATGAATGAGTAACACCTGTCATGTGTTCTCACAGGTATCTTGGAGAGGAGGAAAATGGGAGCATCTCGAAGGAGTCTCGCTCTCAGGCGTTACTAGCTAAGCTGCAACAGAAGGCCAAAGAGAAGCAGAGACAGAGTTTGACGGAAGAAACACAAAAACCACCTAAAGAACGGACGCAAAAGGATGTCAAAAAGAAAAGAAAAGCTGACAAGGACAGCAGTCAGGAGCCTGAACACAACAAGAAACGGAAATCTGAAGCAGCAGCTGTTATTGTCTCAGAGACTGATAACCACGACGAGCTGGTTGAGGAGGAGGAGAAGAAGAAGAAGCAGACGAGTGCAAATGAGAAGCGGAAGAAGAAGAAGGATCAGTCAGGTATGTGCTTGTTCTTGTATTTATTGACATGATAACACCAAATTGGGCAATACATTGATGTTGTGAGATGATGCCTCTTATTGAGGCCTAACAATACATTAATGTTGTGAGATGATGCCTCTTATTGAGGCCTAACAATACATTGATATGAACAATATTGTCAGATTCAGCTTAGTTGTTGGCAATGAACATGTTAAGTCCTATGCTTTTCCAACAGTGTAGCAAATAAAATACAGGAATAAGTCGACTATCTACATGAAAAATGGAGATGAGATAATACTTTAATATTGTACAGTTGAATGAAATACTTCTTATTGTAATAATATATAAATACGTGGACTATAAATAGTGGAATTTGCTATAAATGTAAGTAAGTGAATACACTTAGAGCTCAGAAATTGTAGAATTGTTGGTTAAACTGTCCCTATGTCTGGTGAAATGTATTGGTTATAAATAGTTATGAATTAACAAAAAGACAACAAAAATGTTTACATTTTAAGACAGTGAAGTGTTACAATATACTGCTGAACAAGGCTCATGTGAGACCTCTCCACATTTTGTGAGCGCTTCATACCAATTTAATTTGAAAAGGGTGTAAAATGTTATAAAAATATTTACCTGAGATTTTTTAAATCCTTCAAATATTGCTATTGGTCTAAAAAAATCCACTTTGGATACCTCACTTTGTATCTCCAGACAACCACAGGTTAAGACCTAAAAGTCTTTGCTGATTTCTGATATCCGGGTTTTTTCCTCCACTCACTGTAGCGATTTGACATTCACGGCAGTGGTTTATTGATCTGTAAAGTGCATATCTACACAGAGAATATGGCTAATACGGTTTAAATGAAGTATGTATTGAAGGTTATAGGAATAATCCCTTTTCCTGAATATATCTTGTAAATAAAAACGCAAATCTGATAAACGTTGATGTCGTAAACTGTACGAATCTGAAGCCTGTTAAATAAAGGAGCAGATGAGATATGGGACTTGGATCTTGTTGCAATCCTTGGAAAAGTAGTTGGGAAAAGTACTGCCCATACTGTGTTACAATATGAAAGGTATGGATGAATTAGACTATAATAAAGAGTAAGAAGACAGTTCTTACTCACTGTCCTTATTATACCAGTTGGTCTATTCATTTGATATGATTTGTTTTGTCTATGGATTTTAGGCATTTCAGTGAAAAGTCTTCCTGACACTCCTGTGACTGGAAGAGAAGGACTGGAGGAAACAGGAGGAGGAGAAGAGAAAACGGAGACAGAAAACATCGCACCAGAACAAACCGCGGAAAAGACTCCTGCTCCAACCGGGTTCACGGTCCTGGGAGGATTTGACAACAAACCTGTCCAAAAGGTACACACACGTGTTTCTTATGCTATTACATTCAAAGATTCAATATGCACAGTAGCTACAGTGTAGATATGGCAATGATGATCTTAAGTCCCAAGCTCCTCCAACAATGCAACATAAATATATATAAAACAAATGAAAAAAATGCAAGAAGAAACTGAGTAGAATCAAATATAGCAGATGATGTTGCGAGACCAATGTGCAAGTAATGCAGATGAAGTTAACTTTATACATGTCAGAAAAAGAAATAAATACAACAAGCTAAATAATGCAGAGAATGTTGTAAGTCACCAAGTAAATGCAGGAGTCTGTATAATACACATGTTCATAGAATTAAATAGACGAGAACAGAATGTAACATTAAATATTATACAGTGAAATCAAATTAAATACTGTTTATTGTAGTGATAAATATTAAGATCAATTAATTGTAAGATGCAAACAGATGAATGCTTCAGGTTATGAAGGCACTGAACAGAGTTTAAGTAGTCTGATGTCCTGTGGGTTAGAACTGACTGTGTGTGTGTGTGTGTCTGTGTCTGTGTCTGTGTCAGGTGCACAGAGTGCTCCCTCAGTGGCTGGCTCAGCCGGATGTGATTCACAGAGACATTAAAGGACACCTGGTGAACATCTCCGAGATCCACGGACTCTCCGCTCTGCTCGTGAAGAAACTTCAGAATAATGGAATCCAGAACTTTTTCCCAGGTAATCACACAGGCTGGTTTCAGCAGCTCTATAAAAGGCTTGTAACAAATTCACATTAGCGTAAATACACTGAAAGAGTGTAAACACCTGAGAAATAACAGAATGATGATGTCACAGTCAGAGGTGGTAGAACCAGTGGCGTAGCCAGGAATGAGGGTGGGTGGGCCCGGGCCCACCCACAGCTACGCCACTGGGTAGAACTACTCAGATATTGTACTTGAGTAAAAGTAGAAGTACCAGAGTGTAGGAATACTCTGTTACAAGTAAAAGTCCTGCATTCAAAATGTTACTCAAGTAAAAGTACCAAAGTATTAGCATCCAAATATACTTAAAGTACCAAAAGTAAGAGTAGTCATTGTGCAGATTGGTGCATTTCAGAATCATATACAGTGAAGGAAATAATTATTTGATCCCTTGCCGATTTTGTAAGTTTACCCACTTACAAATAAATGAACAGTCTATAATTGCAATGGTAGGTTTATTTTACTAATGAGATACAGAATATCAAAAAGAATATCCAGAAATTGACCTTTTATAAAAGATAACAATTTATTTGTATTTAACTGTGGGAAATAAGTATTTGATCCCCTGGCAACAAACAAGAATTCTGGCTCCCACAGACTGCTACATAAGTCCTCTTCCTTTAAAAAAGTACTCCTAATATCCACTTGTTACCTGTATAAAAGACACCTGTCCACAGAATCAATCAATCAGATTCCAACCTCTCCACCACGGGCAAGACTTAGAGCTGTCTAAGGACCTCAGGGACAAGACTGTAGACCTGCATAAGGCTGGGACTGGCTACAAGACCACCAGAAAGCAGCTTGGTGAGAAGGAGACAACTGTTGGTGCCATTATTCAGAAGAATAATGTGTGTTTCTAAATGGAAGTAACATAAAATGAGCATCAGTCGCCCTCGGTCTGGGGCTCCACACAAGATCTCGCCCCGTGGGGTATTGATGATCATGAGAAAGGTGAGGGATCAGCCAAGAACTACACAGGAGGAACTTGTTAATGATCTCAAGGCAGCTGGGACCACAGTCACCAAGAAAACTATTTGTAACACACTACACCATAATGGATCAAATCCTGCAGCGCCTGAAGCCCCCCCCGCTCAAGAAGAACATGAAAGCCCTTCTGAAGATTGACAATGAACATCTGAATGATTCAGAGAAGGCTTGGGAGAAGATGATGTGGTCAGATGAGACCAACATCGAGATCTTTGGCATCAACTCGCATGGAGGTGGAAACATTCTGCTTTGGGGGTGTTTCTCTGCTAAGGGGACAGGACCACTTCCCTGCATCGAGGACAGGATGTACGGGGCCATGTACCGTGAATATTGGCCGATAGCCTCCTTCCCTCAGCCAGGACTCTGAAAATGGGTCATGGAGGGGTCTTCCAGCAGGACAATGATCCTGAACATACGGCCAAGGCAACACAGGAGTGGCTAAAGAAGAAGCACATTCAGGTGATGGAGGGGCCTAGCCAGTCTCCGGACATTAATCCCATAGAAAGTCTGTGGACGGAGCTGAAGCTTCCAGAGGCCAAGCATTAGCCTCAAAACCTGAAGGATTTGGAGAGGATCTTCAGAGAGGAGTGGACCACAATTCTTCCTGAGATGTTCACAAACCTGGAGACTCAAAGCTGGTAAAGGTGCAGCTAGTTTGAATGGCTTTGTATACTGCAGGGTAGCTTGTGAATTTACTCCAGGTGGAACTAAAGTCTTAGTGTTGATTATATTGGAATTACTCAAGTAAAGTACAATATCTCAAAATTGTACTTGAGTACAGTAAATTAACTGATTCATTCCACCTCTGGTCACAGTGCAGGCAGAGGTGATCCCGGCCGTCTTGGAGAGCGCTCAGCAGGGGCTTCTGATTGGACGAGGGGGCTACAAGCCCAGAGACATCTGTGTGTCTGCTCCTACAGGCAGCGGCAAGACGCTGGCGTTCGTCATACCTGTCATCCAGGTGAGCTTCTGACACTCATACAATATAACCACTACTCTGTGTGGCCTCCATATGAAGTAGATTTGGTTTGCAGAAAAACGACAAGGGATCCATTATGACACGCATTCTAAAACAACACAGACCACAGGCAAATCTCAATGTCCAAATCTTTCCACACTGGTTGCCCAAACAATATCTTTAAAAAAAGTAATTTTCTAGATAGTTAGGTACTTTATTGATCCTAAATCGGGAAATGATTCTGTTACAGCAGCAGTGTGTTAAGGCAATAACATATTTAAAAGGTGGAATAAAGAACAAACATAATAAAAACAAAACAATAAACAGCAAATATAAATATATCAAGTGGAGGAGACACACATAATACACAATATCAAATATTCCGGATGAATTAGGATGTTCTTTAGAAGACCAAAATACTGCAGCAACAGAAATAAAGACATATACTACAGGAGCAGAAACACATATAGGAGAGTATATAAACGACCAATGTGTTCCTTAGGTTCTGATGGAGCGGGTGGTGTGTGAAGTCCGTGCTCTGGCCGTGTTGCCGACCAAAGAGCTCGCCCAGCAGGTCAGAACCTTTCAAAATAAAAGCATGACAGTATCCAGTGATGTCTCCAGTTGACTAATGTTCTGCTGTCCAGGTGTGCAAAGTGTTTGCGTCGTACGCTGAGGGGACCTCTCTGAAAGTGGTGATGCTGGCCGGACAGAAGTCCTTCGCTGCAGAGCAGAGCTGCCTGTCGGAGCTCAGGTGAGAACAGCGGCATTAGAACAGGCTGCACCACTACTCTGGGATTTTGTGAAAACAGAACATTTATGAATTTATTCTGGATAACGGTAAAAGCACTGAATTCCCATTGCTTGGATAATCATGAATAATCTTTATTTTTTTATTTAACCTTTATTTAACCAGATAAAAAGCATTGAGATAAAATCTCAATTACAATGCTGACCTGGCCAAGAAGGCAGCAACGTTACACATTATTACACATAGACATATAACACAGACATATAAAATACAGAGAACATAACTAAGTAAACAAAAAGACGAAAAGCAGTCACTACATTTGGGACAGTAAGGTACACTACTTATTAGTGCAACAGCAGCTGGTGGTAAGGACCTCAGACAACTTCAATTTAAAACATGCTATTGAGACAAGTGCCCTCAGTTTTAGGCTTGATTGAAGGTCATTCCAAGACCAAAGACCATAATAAAAAAGACTCCTTTTTCCAGCCTCAGTCCGCACAGCAGGTACCTGGAACCGTATCCAGGCACTGGATCTGAGGTTGTAATGGCGCATTTCCATTGCAGCGCGTAGCTCGCTTTAAGCGTGCCGTGTCGTGCCGTCCCCTTTTTTGGTTGTGCTTCCACTAGGCCTCGTTCCGGCGCGGCACGGCGCGGGCCACTTTTTCCCCTCTTTTCTGGCCCTAGAAAATTGTGGTTCTAT